TAGCAATACAGCAGAGAAGATGATGTACGATGGAACAGAAGTGTTGCAATGATAAATGACAATTCAATATGGGATAGCATGGTGAGGAAATACTCAGGCAAGGTGGGTAAATACAGGGGAATGGGGTACCTGATAGGGGAAAGATTGTAACAGGACCAAAATTTGACTATTCGTTTATAACCTTGCTAAGAACCATCTCTAACCTTATTGATATATTTGAAATCCAACTAAAGGAAATAAATTGCTTAGCTATGCAGTCTATTAGGTTCTTTGCAGATTTAGGCCTTTGCCATGTAATTTTACCCTTTGCTGAAGTTTTACTGAACTTTGTGATTTACAGGACAATGGTATTCCTCTAGCATTCCTTGCTGCTTATGCAACATGAATTGACATTTTGATTTTTGCAAGTGAATGATAATAGACTATAAAAAATGCTGACCATATCTAGTATAGACTCGAGCTCAAATTAGCTTACTGGGGCTCATCTGCCATGAGCTTATTGATGACTTGTTAAAAATATCAACTGAACAATACACTGGTAATGTTGATAAATACATCACAAAACTGTATTTTTTCAGAAAGACGATAAATTATGGGATGTACAAAGACCCATCAAACCCTGTCTCAGCCCTACAAAGAGTGTCCATCTAGTTGAAGTGGTAATAGTTAAGGACACACAAAAAAATCAAGAAACAGTAAGAAGAGGAAGTAAATGTGAAAGACATTAGCACAATAGATGCCAGTTCAAAGTGCCTGAAGCATTGAGTTCCCAGCTCAGTGCTTAGAGTTGTGTTCCTAAGGCTACACTCTCCCGTTACAACTACCTGATAAGGGATTCTTGTGGAAGAGAAGCATACAATGAACATGAAAAAAGCACTCGAATTTCATGTCAGTCAAGTAAAATGTAGTTTTGGTATTGTGCTTTGAATATTTGCTTAATATATAAGTTTTAGCTAAATATATTTTTTTGTGTGTGCAGCCTTGGGGGGAAAAAACCCTAAAGCGATGGACAATGTGGACTGATGCATGAGAACTAATTCTTAAACTCTGTATGTCTTCCCCCAGGCTGTGGATACTGGCATCTACCTTCATAACACTGGTGTTAGCTTCTTTCATGTCAGGGTTAGCACTCTGAACTGTCAGGCTGGCTCTGTATGCAGGCGGAGCGTCATAGCCTGGCTAGTGGCCCAGAAATTCCCCCATGAACCTCTGCCATGCTGTCCCTCCCTGCAGTTCCTCTTGCAAATAGTTGAAATCCATTGTTTAAATTGATTCCTTTAATTTTGAAGACAGTACTTCTGTTTCTAATAATCTCATTGCAGATGCAAATAGCACTGTGGTGTCCTTACTAGTATGACATTTAAAGAAGCATGAAAGAGGGCTGTGGAGTTGGGGAGGGTGGATGGAAAACTATGGTAGCAAGAGAGAAAACTAACATGTTGATTAACTAACATGCTAAAACTAATACACTGATTAAAAGGATCTTAGAGTGCTGATGCCATACTGTGAGCCTCAGGTCCCAGAGAGCCATTTCCAGCCTGACCCAGTCTTCACCGCAGCCTTTTATCATTGTGGGGAGGAGGGGGTCATTCCATCATCAGTGCGACAAACATGGTGATAGAAGAGAGCATCCCTACTCATTGAGTACATGTCCCTGCTGTACTTGTCCAAGCAGGGCAATGGTGTCTCTATGAGAATTACATGAGTGGTATAACTATCACTCCACTCTACTTCCTTTAAATAATATTAACCAGATAGCTCTTCCCATAAAGAGAGTTACAAAGAAATACAGAACCTTGAGATCAAAAGGAGGAAAGAACTACAGCCATGAGTAATTCATCTCTCAAAATTTCTTCAAGAGTGTTTATCCTTCAGAAACTGTTGTTTGAAAAAGATCTTTTGGGGACGACTGGGTGGCTCAGCAGTTGAGCATCTGCCTTTGGTTTAGGTTGTGATCCCGGGTCTGGGGATCAAGTCCCGCATTGGGGTCCCCGCAGGGAGCCTGCTTCTCCCTCTGTCTATGTCTCTGCCTCTCCCTCTGTGTCTCTCATGAATAAATAAATAAAATCTTTAAAAAAATTTAAAAAAGATCTTTTGGAATAGTAATAGTTATTGCTGTCATGACATGCCAAACACATGCAAGTGTTTTTAAGTTGCAGAAAATATGTGGTTACTGTAGATTCAAAGTTATGGCTAAAAGTACAGTTCCTGGTCCCAAACAAAACCTTTATAATGACAGAAGCTACAATAGTGAAGAGAATATGTCCAGTGGAATTCTGAAGTAATTAATATACTCTGTATCTTCCGTCAAACCTAACTCAATAATGACTCACCTCCTAGGGAGACTATAACCAACTAGTGGTACTAGTATAAACATCATCGTTTCCACCAGGCATGCATTTATGGTGTTTGAGAAAGAGCTCTGAGCAATGCCAACTGTAGAAAACACTCCAAATTTAAGAAGTAAGAAACTTTCAGATTGGTTTTGGAAATGTGAAGGTGGAAGCTGCTACGTTCTGAATGTTTTGTCTTCCCAAAATGTATATAATAGAACCTCAAAGGTTCTATTTGAGAAATAGAACCTCAAAGGTTGTGGTATTGGGTGGTGAGGACTTCAGGAAGTGATTACATCCTGAGAGTAGAGCCCCCTGAATGGGATTAATACCCTTATAAAAGCAGCCTTGAGAAAGCTCACTGACCTCTCCTACCATATGAGATTTATCACAGGATCTTACCAGATATTGAACCTGCCAGTACCATGATCTTGGACTTCCCAACCTCAAGAACTGTGAAATAAATGTTTGTTGATTATAGGCCACCCAGTTCATGATATTTTTGTTATAGAAGCCCTAATGTACTAAGACAGGAGTTCATTATTGAAAGTCTACTAGAATACAGGAGCTTTATAAATCAATTCAGTTCAAGTCTCAAAATGTACCTATGAGAAAGAAGAGCCTACATATTTTATAAACAAGAAAATTATTGTTCAGAAAAGCTTAGTAACTGATTTATGGTCAGTTATGATTTATGGTGAACAGAGCCAACCAGTCTGTAAGATTCTAAAGTTTGAGCTCTTTCTGTCACATAACATTGCATTTTATAGGACAAACCCTTTTTTCCTACCTTTAGAAGGCTCCTTTATAAAAATAGACTTTCCAACTTAGATTATATGTATTAAAATAAGAAAATGTGATTTATCTTGAACTTTTGTCAGATTAACAAAGTCCCTAAATATTGTTAAAATTGCAACCTAAATCTTGTTAAAATTGGTATAACTTTGTCACTGATTTTTTTCAAATAAATGTCAGGTTTGGGTAATAGGGTCACATGAGGGTCATACTTGAGAATCACTCAGAGTTATTTAATATCAATTATATACTTTTGCTGGACAATTATCTGAACTTACCATTTTTTATTATATTTTTGCTAAAATCGTCTTTGAATTTGTAACTGCAGTAGACCTTGGAGGTTATCTGAGCAAAATGCCTACATTCATGAAAACAAATACATCCAATTGCACACATATGAATACATACACAAATGAATAATAAGATTACAATGGGCAAAAATGCAATTACTTTACATAGGAAGAGACTTCAAATCCATGTATATTAACCTTTCGAACAACTGAAGTTAACTGATTTGGATTCACAGAGGAAATTCTTCCATTGGTAAGAATGTAGGACTTAAGGAACATTGGACGCTGTGTGAAGAGCTGTGACTCGTCACTCTTCGGTTGCCATTACCTCACATGTCAATGGAACCTAAGGCTGATCTGGATGATGAAAATCACTAAAATAGCCACTGTACTCTTTTATCTTCTGAAATCCCTTTAAATGTGTCAGCTTCCCAACAAGAAACTGGTTATGGAGTTTGGAACTGCCCTCCCATGATATAGTCTTTCTTAATCCAATGTCTCAAAAAGACTGATTTTAAAAAGTAAAGTTAAAATTTTTAAAACTTTTTCTTAATGGTTCCCAAGTTACTGAGGTTTATCTAACTCTGTTAGATTCTAAAAGATATCCATTAAATCACATCAGTTCAGATTCCTAAGCATGTAAGAACATGTAGACTAAAATTTGTTCCAAATTTATAAAAATAAAATCTACAAACTGTGGCAATGTCAATGATCTATGACAGACCTTTCTTGTTCAAAGCCAAACACTAGCTCAGGTAAATTTCATTTCAATTTTAGGCTTGCCCATTACCACCAAAACTACTTATTTCTAACACATGTAAACTGAGAGGGATAAATACCTAAAGTTAATTGAATTTCATTTTTTTAAAGATTTTATTTATTTATGAGAGACACACACACATAGAGAGAGAGAGAGAAAGAGAGGCAGAGACACAGGCAGAGGGAGAAGCAGGCTCCATGCAGGGAGCCCTACGTGGGTCTCGATCTCGGATCTCCAGGATCACGCCCTGGGCTGAAGGCAGCGCTAAACCACTGAGCCACCCAGGCTGCCCAATTTCATTTTTTTAAAAAGAGCTTTTCTGGAGAAACAAAAGCAGAGTGCTATTTTTCTCAACCGTTTATAAACTACACTTTAGATTTTGGGCTTTGAATGCAAGATCTTTGGAAATGTATCACTGTCCACTCCTGATATGGGAAGCCTTTCCCAAACTGCACCCTCTTGGAGATTCTTGTATTCTATTTCAAAAGAAAAATGCCAACATGACCCAAAGTCCTTGGCATATCAGTGAGGCAAAAGAGTACTATCCCAGGGAGGATCAGTGTTTCTAATTCTATAACTTTTTTCCTAGCATGACTGCTAGGATACATCTCCAACAATGGAATGTTAGAGTCTGATATGTTCTTATTGGTGAAGAACTGTTTTGACTATCATCAAGCATCTGAAAACTGAATGCTTCCGGCCTTTGACACTGCCCTATACCTTACATGGTGTTTACAGGTGAAATAGAAACCATGTTGCTGGCACTCTGTGAGCTTAATGATCCCTAAGAACTCACATGAACTGAGCAAATGAGATAGAAGCATGGCACTATTGATTATACCGATTACCTGCTTTGGGAGTACTCTTGTTACTTCCCAGCCTTGCCAGACTCCTGATGACTTTGTGGCTGCCACTTCTCCAGGACATATCATGATTGGAGGTTTATTTGCCATTCATGAGAAAATGCTGCCCTCAGAAGACTATCCCAGACGACCAGAAATCCAGAAGTGTGTTGGGTGAGTAAAGTCTCAAAGAACACTTTAGATTTCCAGAGTATATTATGAAACTAAGGCATGTAAACATTCACTTGTATTAACATCTAAATTGTTTTTATAAAACTTAAACTCATATATTTTTAAGTTGCATATAGTCTTGCAATCATTCCTGAAAAGAGAAATATATCAGCACTGTATGTATAATCAATCTCCAAGTGCAGAGGCAATGAATGATTTCCATTAATATATTTATTTGAATTTTGCCTAAAACAAACAAACAAACCCTGAAGTCACTTGAGGAAACCAGTTAAGAGACACTATAGCTTGTCCACTACAAACATGCTTAACACATTTATATTTATATTATATATATTTATTACAAATTAACATTAATGTATATAAATTTATATTATATTATCTATTTATACTATTCATTATTCATGTTTCTATCATCCACAATATGCATATTGTTTTATTTATTTTATTTTTTTAATTTTTATTTATTTATGATAGTCATACAGAGAGAGAGAGAGACAGGCAGAGACACAGGCAGAGGGAGAAGCAGGCTCCATGCACCGGGAGCCCGACGTGGGATTCGATCCCTGGTCTCCAGGATCGCGCCCTGGGCCAAAGGCAGGCGCCAAACCGCTGCGCCACCCAGGGATCCCCTGCATATTGTTTTAAATATCAATCTAGGGATCCCTGGGTGGCTCAGCGGTTTAGCACCTGCCTTTGGCCCAGGATGAGATGCTGGAGTCCTGGGATCGAGTCCCATATCAGGCTCCCGGCATGGAGCCTGCTTCTCCCCTCTGCCTGTGTCTCTGCCTCTCTTCTGTGTGTCTTTCATGAATGAATAAATAAATAAAATCATAAATAAATAAATAAATAAATAAATAAATAAATAAATAAATATCAATCTAGGGGATCCCTGGGTGGCTCAGAGGTTTAGTGCCTGCCTTCGGCCCAGGGCGTCGTCCTGGAGTCCCGGGATTGAGTCCCACATCGGGCTCCTTGCATGGAGCCTGCTTCTCCCTCTGCCTGTCTCTCTGTCTCTCTGTCTCTCTGTCTCTCTCTCTCTCTCTGTGTGTCTCCCATGAATAAATAAAATCTTTAAAAATAAATAAATAAATAAATAAATAAATAAATAAATGTCAATCTATTATTTAGTGTTTTGTTTAAAATAGGTTACATTTAAAATTTCTCTCTACACTAGCATTTTGATCAGTACTGCATTCATTTCATTCTTGAAATAATCTAATTCTTTCATAATAAAGTTAGACTTTACTTCAACTTAAATTGTTCCTTCTTCTTTTATGAACACTTTCCCCTGAAAGTTTGATGATAGAAAAGACACATGGCACAGTGTATAATTGAAAAGTAAAGCTAGGCAAAGGATGTTACACATGGATTTTTTTGTATTTTTTTAAGGAGAGCAAGATACTTGAATTGTAATTTCTGTCTGGGAACAAACTAATTTCATAGACTTAGGCACATCACTTAAACTCTTTGAGTTCCAGTTTCCAATTTTCTCTTTTGTAAAAGAAGGGCCCGGATCACTTCTAAGGACACAGGCAGCATCAGCTTCTGTTGCTATGGCAATGTGACTGCCATGCTTCCTTCCACTCTGAAATCCTGCTTTCTATCTTGATGTTTTTGTATGTAAATGTAACATTCTCTTTCCTCCCCCCTTTTTTTCTTTATCAAAAAGTGTTTACCAACTGTCAGATAAAATGTGGTTGCATATCCCACTAAGATTCCTTCCTGGCATTCTCTCTAGAAGTTGAACACTTTAAGCTACTGTCTTCTTAAATGTTGATTATCAGGAATACTAGCAAATGCCTCAGGATAATTCATTAAAAATTTCAGAGCATTAAATTGGTACCCAAAGAATGACTGCAGATTTGAGGCCCACGATTTTAAGCCAACAATTAAGGGTGGAAAATACAAAAAAAAAAAAAAATCATTGATCTAATAAGCAAATTTTTTCTGAAAAAAAATCTCTGAATTGAACATCCTTTCACCGTATTGCCACTCCGGGACAGAAACAGTATTCACTCAGCATCAAACAACTATTTACTAAGTGCCTACATTAACTAAGCCCTATTCTAGACACTGGGATACTGAAGGAATACAGCAAAGAGATTTAGACTCTCATGGAGCTAACATGTGGGGACCCTGAAGATATTATACATTTTAAATGTCATTTAATTCATTATTTTGGTTATAGTTCATTACTTAAACTTTTCTCTCCTCTTTGTTTCTTTCTTTAAATTAAAAACTTAATGCTGATTTGCCAAACTTCACTTTTAGATAGTCTCCAATAGGGCACCCGGGATGGCTCAGGGTTTAGCGCCTGCCTTCAGCCCAGGGTGTGATCCTGGAAATAAAATCTTAAAAAAATAAAAAATAGTCTCCAATGACAAATATTATTCAAATACTTTAATTTATCGTAACTCAATGAACTAAAAGGAAACTTAAAAATATCAAAACCCTGAACAATGATATTCTCCTCTATGAATGGATAAAGATGATGGAGCATTATAGACTATTATTCAGCCATAAAAAAAGAATGAAATCTTGTCATTTACAACAACATGGATAAGTCTAGGGACTATAATGCTAAGCAAAATTAATCAGAGAAAGACAAATACCATATGGTTTCACCCATTTAAGATACAAAATGAACAAAAGAAAAATAAAGAAACAAACCAAAAAGCAGTCTCTTCACCACAGAGAACAAACTGATGGCTAACAGAGGGAAGGTAGGTAGGGGGTTGGGGGAAATAGACAAAGACGATTAAGAGTATACTTCTTATATTGAGACTGAGTAATATACAGAATTTTTGAATCTCTATATTGTATGCCAGAAACTAACATTGCATGGTAGTTGTACTGGAATTTAAAATAATAATAATAATAATAATAATAATGTCCTCTATTCATTTAAAAACATTTGAATGCTTACTAAACTTTACTATATATTAGGTACTGTTTGTAACTGCATATATGCAGTGGTAGGTGACAATAAACTTAATTGTAAATCAGTAATCAAGCAACTCAATGCCCTGAAGTAATCATAAATCAAGAGGTCAACTGGGAAAACCCACTTAAAGAGGAAATAGCTATGTTTCATAACTATAATAGTGCACTTCATCTAGAAGAAAACTATTGTGTTTTATACATACAGTCTGTTTTATATGTAATTCTTAAGAGTCTTTTTCTTTTAAAGATTTATTATTATTATTATTATTATTCATGAGAGACACACATACAGAGAGAGAGAAAGAGAGGCAGAGACACAGGCAGAGGGAGAAGCAGGCTCCACACAGGGAGCCCAACGTGGGACTCGATCCCAGGTCTCCAGGATCACACCCTGGGCTGAAGGCAGCACTAAACCGCTAAGCCACCCGGACTGCCCAATTCTTATGAGTCTTATTAATCTGGTTCCCAACCACAATAGTTTATAATTAAAAAAAAACACACATAAAACACAGGCTAGTGAGTCTAAGGAATAGATACTTGGATAACAATAAAATGGTGACATCTAACTAGAAGAAGGACTAAAAATCAGACACATCTTCATACTGCAGAATACTAAACTGAGTATTCAAACGATCCCAAAATTAATCAAGAAAAAGTTAAATTCTGTTCCACAGACTCCATTTGAGACCCTGTATACCTTTTAGAAAGGTTTCCACCAAGAACTATTTTTAAATAAATAAAGTTTAGACCAGCTTTACTGGTCCAGAAATGGTCTATTGTAAGGCAGAAATGTGAATAAAATGAGTTACCATAATGTCTATAGAAGAGTTATGTTCTGATTTAAAAAAAATTTGTTTCCCAACAGCTTTGAAATATCAATTTTTCTTCAAACTCTTGCCATGATTCATAGCATTGAGATGATCAACAATTCAACACTATTATCCGGAGTCAAACTGGGGTATGAAATCTATGACACCTGTACCGAAGTCACAGTGGCGATGGCAGCCACTCTGAGGTTTCTCTCTAAGCGCAACTGCTCCAGAGAAATTGTGGAGTTTAAGTGTGATTATTCCAGCTACATGCCAAGAGTTAAGGCTGTGATAGGTGCTGGCTACTCAGAAATAACAATGGCTGTCTCCAGGATGCTGAATTTACAGCTCATGCCACAGGTAGGTTTTGTCTTACCCTAGATGTTGGTTTTGAGCATATTCTTTATTATTAGAAGATTAGGGAGTTGCTTTTATTTTATTCTTTCTTTCTCTTCAGTCAAAGAGGGCATGGTGCCCTACTCTGGATAGTATAATGGACAGAGCACTAAGGGAATATAGTCGCCCCTCAATCTGTCATGTTAGATCCAGTTTCTGACAGTTTTCAGTGGGATTCAGATAAGACAAATCTCTGAGGGCCTCAACTCCCTTGTTTCTGAAATAACATCAGTTGGGTGCTATGAAGAAAACCGAAGAGAGATTGGGGGATAAGAGGACATGCAGGTCAAGGAACACTTCCTGAAACTCGAATGGGAAGGGACAGCCAAGCAAAGACAGGGAGGAGAGGACAGTATCTATGCTGAGAAAACAGTAAGTACAAAGTTGAAATGTCCAAAGAATAGCAAAAGGTCAATATAGCTAGGTCAGGTATATAGAAAGAAGTGCAGTAAGCAGTGCATTTCCAGAGATAAGCAAGGGCTGGTCGGTCATTCAGTATCTTTTAAGCTGTGATACAATTTGCATTTTCTTCTGAGTATGATGCGAATCATTGAGCAGAGACTATAGTACTACATGTCTCCTTGTAATGCAAGCCAATATATAATCAGGAAGTAAGCAAAAAGGCCCCTGAAAGACCAAAACCAACATAAAGAGCCTTTCACTGAGGTCCTGCACACTCTACTCAAGAGTCTAGCACCTCCCCTTGGTTTGCATTTTGAGTCTACATTACTCTGTGACTCACTAAGCCACTGTTTCTAGGCTCCAGGGAGATTAGAAGCCAAAAATTAGAAAGGAGAAAGAGTTAATAGTCATGTTATCAAGAAATAGCCATTTGATAGAAGTGAACAGATGGAAAATATATATATAATAAATGTGCATAAGAATTTAAAATACATAACTTTCTGGAGTTAGAGTAAATAAGAGCATACACGCATGAAGAACTCTGAGAGTTCCATTATATAGCCTAGTGAGGTTGATAAAAAAAAAAGTTGATATCCAAAGTGACAAAAGAATTATCCCCCCAAATAACTCAGAGATAAAGCTTTGGCTCAAGTTTTCTAGACTATGTATAATGCTAGTTAGGTGATGAGTAAGAAAAGTAGACTATTTTTAACAATGATTATGTCATGTAAAAATGTAATTTCCATGATAGACAACACAAAAGGAAAGGGGACTCTCCACAGGGGACACTGATTTTACTGAAGCTCAGGTGTCAAATGTAGATGAGCACAGGGATGCCAGGTACCAAATGGAAATCTGCACAGCAATGTCAGGGAACTAAGGTTTTGTCAATGTCAACCATGGGCCAATATCCATTTAAATGTTCTCCTTGAATCTTCACGGGAATCCTATCATTTCATAGGTAAAGAAATATTAATTTTCCCAAATTTATTGAAGTCAAGATTCTGACTGTTTGTCTGACTCCAAAGCCTGTTGTCTTTCCACCATACCAGGTGGCTGCTGTAAATAGTAAAAAAAAAAAAAAAAAAAAAAAAAAAAAAAAAAAAAATATATATATATATATATATATATATATATATATATATATATTCCGAGTCAGAAACACATTGGAATTGCAGCTAATAATTCCCCCTAGAATAAAATCACCAGAGCTGTACATCAAGCCAAACTTTGCATACATGTTAGGTGGGTCTCCCAAAAAGCTGATGCTTGTTTGAGTAGAGCAGGAGCCAGAAAACTATAGCATGTTGATCAAATGTGGCTCCCAAGCTATTAAGCTACCAAGTAAGAATGGTCTTTACTTGTTTTAAGGATTGTAACAAAAAATATAAAATACACACACACACACACACACAATGGAGACTGTATGTGACCAAAAAAGCTTAAAATATTTTATCTCTCCCTTTACAGAAAAAAAAAGTGTGCTGACCCCCTAGACTAGATAATTATTTGGCTGGATAATGTATCCTACCTACAATAAAAATTATCAAAGTTGTCAATTAGACAAAATGTTGAACATGCTGGGTGTCCCAAAATGCATTTTGCTTATTCAACCAGCTGCATTTTTCCTGTATTGATGCATTTAAATAATATTCGCCTATTCATGTTGGCATGAGATATAAGATAGGTATAATTGGATACAGAAATGTAGCTGGAAATATAAGATAGAGCCTGAACTTTCAGAGAACTGTACTGAACACAATATGAAACGATTGTGGAGCAACGACTCTAAACAGTCACCGGGTACTGTCATGATTTAAGCTATTTATAAAGTAGAAGTTCATTGAAAGGGAAGAATGTAAAGGACCAGAGAATTTAGGAAAAGATTATACAGAAGATCACAGAAAAGAGAGTGTGAACAGCCCCCCCAAAGTACATCAACACCATAACTAAGAGATTCTATCAATCTCCAGGTGAGTTATGAATCAACTGCAGAAATCCTAAGTGACAAAATTCGCTTTCCTTCATTTTTACGGACTGTGCCCAGTGACTTCTATCAAACTAAAGCAATGGCCCACCTGATTCAGAAATCTGGATGGAACTGGATTGGCATCATAGCCACAGATGATGACTACGGACGACTGGCCCTCAACACTTTTGCAGTTCAGACCGCAGCAAATAATGTGTGCATAGCTTTCAAGGAGGTTCTCCCAGCCTTCCTCTCAGATGATACCATTGAAATCAGGATCAATGAGACCCTTGAGAAAATCATCGCAGAAGCCCAGGTTAATGTCATTGTGGTATTTCTGAGGCAATTCCATGTTTTCAATCTCTTCACTAAAGCTATAGAAAGGAATATAAATAAGATCTGGATTGCCAGTGATAACTGGTCCATGGCCACCAAGATCACCACCATCCCTAATGTTAAAAGGATTGGCAAAGTTGTGGGGTTTACCTTTAGAAGAGGGAATATGTCTTCTTTCCACTCCTTTCTTCAAAACCTGCATATGTTTCCCAGAGATAATAACAAGCCCCTAAATGAATATGCCATGCTCTTGTCTGCCTGTGCACATGTCAAGGACAGTGATTTGAGTCAGTGCATTTCCAGCCACTCTCGGGGGACTTTGGCCTACACGGCTAACAAGGATATAGAAAGGAACTTCTCCCTGAGAAATGATTTCCTGTGGGATTACACCGAGCCAGGACCTGTTCACAGTATCCAGCTCGCAGTTCTTGCCCTTGGTTATGCCATTCGGGATCTCTGCCAAGCTCGAGACTGTCAGAACCCCAACGCCTTTCAACCATGGGAGGTACTAACTCACACATCCAAGAGAATTCCCCTACAGTCACTTCTTTCCTTGCTTTAATTTGCAAATATTTATATTAGCTACTCCTTATCATATTCCTTTTGTAAGTAGATACCTTCAGTGTTTGAATACCCTGCATTTCTATCACTAGCTCTTTGCTCTTGAGGATACTAGAGTTCTTATTTTGCCTTCACTACTACATTGACCCTCTAAATTGGTGTTTCTTTTTATTTTCCAAGAATATTCAGTTTATAGTATTATTTTCTGTGAGTTTATGGATTTGTATCCAATCTTACAGTTTTTCAATGCTTCATATGAATTATCTCTTTTAGTGCTTTTGACACAAGACCATGCATGTTTAATGGCCCTTTTATTATTATTAAATATTATCTATAAGGAAACTAACATTAGAAAGTACAAGAAATAGGACTCTAGTCTGGGTCTTCTGCCTCCATGTCCTTAATTTTTCATGCTATCTCTGGTGGTTAATAGTTTTCAAAGCCTTCAGCTACAACTCTTAGGACAGTCTCCCTAGGACTCCAGTCTTCCTCAAATTAATGTTGTTAGATGAATCATAATTTGTATGGTATCTCAGGTTGACATGAGCCACTAATTGTGGGTTAAAGAAGTCTTTTCCTTTCTTCATTTCGATTAGTTTGAAAAAACTCAAATTCAAGCTTAATGTGACCCCTTTTAGTGAAAATTTTCCACTGTGTTTTTTATATGCCTATAAACAAGACATTTACATGCAAATTGTTGCTTTATATGATGGTAAATTTTACTCATTAAAACTAGATTTCTCAATAGTGTATATTCAAAGATAAGCTTGTCTGTCTTGATGCAGAATCATGTTCCAAAAATATAATTATTACAAATGTGTAAAGGAGAAGGCGGCAAAAGGAAATAAGACTCAATTCGTACCATATATGTGAGTATCCAGGACAGGCTATTTCTATTTTTGTCATTTTTACTTTTACTTTAAACACTCACAAACACAAGCTCCAAGGTCTGAGGTCATCAGCTTATATTTGGGTGGATCATGTGATGGTCATAAGGTGTTTTAAATTGCTCATTTAAAACTAGTTTTGATCTTGTAAATGCAAGGCAGAAAACCTTATGAAGAGTTAAGACTAGAGATTAGGATTTTTTAAATTAAAATTATCTTTTAAAAATCTGTACATATATGCCTAGCTATTTTAAGACATCTGTTTGAAAGCACACTCTTTGTAATATAAAATTGTAATGAGGGATTGGTAAAAACTATACATTAAGTGAACTGCAACAATGAAACTACTACACAAAATTTTTGGAATAAGATATTGAGAAGGAGTAATAGAGAAAAATTAGACAATCCTAGGGACAGGTAGGCTAAAGGTGAGAGATTTAAAGAGCTTCATAAGGAAAGAAAAATGCAAATCAAAAGAACTATTTATCCCTCAAAGATCTGGGAAAGTATTTTAAATCAGAAGTAAATCTCAAACATTCTGAGGAAAAGACTTGAGAAAGTATAATATAAGCAGCGTCTTCTAAAATGTTTTACTTAAACAGTTAAGAGTCTGGGGTTGTTCTTTATTCCCCCTGGGAGCGTGGTTATCTAGAAACAAACAGAAACAGATTGGAAAGGAGGAATATGTGAGTGACTTGCTCCTTTGATCACAATGTGAGTGAACCACATCTGTGCCAGATTGAGTAGGACAAATAATGCAGACAATTGTCTTCTTATGAAGAAATCTCAAATACTTTAAATTTAAATCGATCAACATTTAGGGTCACTAATCAAAGATACGCTTTTAAAGTTATTTTGATCCTGGTAAAAATTCATTTGTATTTAAATATTACTTTTTATAAAATTTTTTTCATTTCAAATAACTTTAAAGAAGTTTTTCCAGTATTTGGATGGTATCTCTTACTTGGCTTCATTTGGTGACATCTGTGAGCAGTCTTCAGGAATGTACAATCGAATTGTCTTACTTCAAACAGATTTTTAATGTTAGCCAGATGGCATGGGATACCATCCATCCTTGTTGTGACAGTGTGATATTGGGGGGGCTTTGTTTTTCCATTACTCATGTTGTTATATGGAAAGTAGTAAGTGATGATATGGGATGACCCAATGTCTAATGGTCAAACTTCAAGTCATACATTCTATTTTAGCAGATATTTATCCAATGTCTCAAGTATTTGTTCAGGCACTGCGTTGTGTGTATTGGAAAATTTATGGGAACAAGTCAAAATCTTCATCTAAGGAGTCATCTGTTACTGGGTGTTTAGTATACAAACAATTAGGAGCTGATTACATGAAGGATTAACGCATTGCTTGTTTCATAGAGCACTAAATTGGCAGAGAAGCACATAATGAGGCAACCAATCAGTATGGTTCAAGAGAACATTCCCCAGAGGACATAAATCTCTGGGGATATAATGGGTGGGTAGGCGTTAGAAAAGAAATACTTTGAGGGATCCGGGTGGTGTGCGGTGGTTTTGCGCCTGCCTTTGGGCCCAGGTTGTGATCCTGGAGACCTGGGATCGAATCCCACTCGGGCTCCGGTGCATGGAGCCTGCTTCTCCCTCAGCCTGTGTCTTCTGCCTCTCTCTCTTTCTCTTCTCTCTCTCTTGACTATCATACTTAAATAAAATAAATAAAATTTTTTTAAAAAAAGAAATACTTTGGAGAAGGTAGAGAAAACATGGCATCTTCATGGATAAGAAAAATAGTGCCACAGGAATTCAGTGTTTTATGGCAATACGGGTAAAATGAAGTAAGAGATTAGTGGAAGGAGCCATCTTGAGGGCTCAATCAATCAGAGCATCTCACAATTTTGTTGTGCAGTTGAATTATCCTGGAATCTTATTATCATGTATATGCTAATTCAAGTCAGGGTGAGGTGGATACCTGAAAGTCTGCCTTCTAACAATCTCTCAGGTGATGCTGACTGCTGGTATAGGGACTCCTTTCAATAGAAATCTGCAAAACTATGTTTATAGGTTTGGACTTGATAGAGCAAGGGGAACAGTTAAAGATTTATATTTTTACACAGGAAAGTGTCATGCTCCTTCTTTCCATGTGATTCCTCATTCCAATGCAGAAATAGCATTTCATTTCCACTGTGTGTGCACGGTTAGAGGACACAAGCCAAGAGGTAGAAGGGACATTAGGTATCCAGCATTTAAAATAATGATGGGGGGGCTTATATACAGGTACAAGTATACAGTATTCTGTGTGACAGTGAGGATGGAGATGCGCATATGTGGATTTTTAAGAAGAAGAATGAAGAGCATCTGGAGATAGATTGGGTGTAACGGACAACGACAAAGAAAAAGCAATGATGTTGCAAGTGAGTCCACATTTGGACAATTGGTATCATTTGTTGGGGTAGAAACAGAGATAAATAGAGGTCTGGTGGGGAGAAGAGGCATTCAGTATTGGAAATGTTGAATTCGAAGAGCTTCACAGACATTCAAGTATAGCAATGGCAGTTACATATTGGTCCAGAAGTCAGAAGAGACACATGCTGAGGAGATAGTGATTTTGAAGTGATAAGGAGAATAGTAACTAATTATTTTTTAAAAGATTTTATTCATTTATTCCTTTGAGAGAGAGAGAGAGAGAGAGATAGTGAGCAAGAGAGAACATGAGCAAGAGGGAGGGACAGAAGGAGAGAGAGAACAGATTCTGCTGAGCAGAGAGCCCTACTCAGGGCTCAATCCCAGGGCCCTGGGATCATGACCTGAGCCAAAGGCAGACGCTGAACCTACTGAGCCACCTAGGCACCACAATAACTAATTTTGAAGGGCTACTATAGTAGGCATTGACCTCTAACCTCTATAATATTCTGGTAGGTCCACATGTTCATGCTCCTTACACTCTATCCTAAAGTAGTGGCAAGAGGAAAATGTTACTAGTGACCAAGATTTGCAGCTGTTTAGACATGGAGGGGACCCCCACAATAAGCATCCAGCCCACAGTCACCCACAGTTAGTGATGAAACTGTTCCAGCCTTAGTCCAGGATGCTTTCCACCACAGCATAGAAAACTTCATGGAAGAAAAAAGACATGGGTTGGGCACCAGACAGAGATGCAAGGCCGCATCCTCTGTGACTCGAATTTCCTCACCAGCACAGCTTACTTAGGGAAATGTCCTGGACATCAGGGTAGACAGGGAAAAGGAAAACAACATTAACCACAACAGCTTGAGTGGTGTGGCCTCCTGGCATCGCGTTCTCAAAAACAGTTCCCTGCCCTACAAAGGGAGAATTCTGTTACATGGAAATGCAAATCCCACTGTTTACGATTTATAGCATCAATTTACAGTGACTTTCAGAGTCTCAATGAAAAAAAATTGGCAGAAAAAGCCTTTAATAGCCTCATAATCAGAGCACCAATGTTTGAAACTCACCTTAACCCGGAGTAAATGCTCTATCTTACTTACCAGGTCATGAATGCACTGTTTTGTTTGCCTGCACCCCCTCTGCTGTGATGAACGTCATTACAGTTAGCTTAGTTTATGTGCATTATACAATGTTATCATATTATACAGAACGGTATTGTGTCAAAAGCTTTACCCTTGAAACGCTCATTAAATACAGGAAAAAAAATAGATGGGACATTATAGTCCAAACACAAGAGTTGGAAGAAAAGCTCCTAAAACGAGCAGAGTTTTCTGGGTTCGTGAAATGTGAATTGCTAAGAAAATTCAATACACAGGTAGAGGTGGAAAACATAGGTCCTTACTTTCTTTTTTAAATTTTCGTTCCCTTCACATTTTTTCTTCCAGGCACAGTGCCTGGAAAAAGCTTTTGCTGTTATTCCACCCTGTTAGAATCTGATGTCCTACTTCTTTAAGTAATACTAATCCATTTGTTCATTAAAGAAACTAAGAAATTGTGGGGAACATCCTAATAAAATCAAGAGACATTGCTTAGAGATTATTACTAAAGTGAACATTGATCTCAGATATGTATAACTAATATATTGTACCTAAATTAAATTGTTTTCTTATTATATTTTAAAAATGGAGAAAGAAAATTATAAAGATTAACTCCAAAGGCAATAAATAAGAAGATATATTCTACAATAGAATAATTTCTGCCTCATTCCACAGGATGTTTGCATACTGAAGAGCTCTTCATAAGCTCATGGACTTAGCGAGTTAGGCGACGTGTGTTCAGCGAGGGTAATTACTTAGCTTGATTATCTATCTCTCGGTTTAATGTGGTGCGGGGTCCTCTCCAATCAATGATTCTTTCCAAAGCACAAACTCAACACAGCTGCTTCTGTGTTCAGTAAACATTCTCATGTTCTAACTGCATGCATACACAAGTTCTTACTGTACAATTGGGTAACAAGACAGTAATTATTCACTGCATTTCTTTCCTCTCTAACTAAAAAACAAAATTATTTTATGAATTACACTTGGAAATAGAAATTTAGAGGTCACTTTACCTTACATCACTGCAACAGATGTGAAAATGACTGGAGATAATAAAGAGCCATACTTCCACCAAATAGTAACAAGTATGGATTTAGGTGGGCAGGTGTGGCGTACCTTCAACCCACCAGCTAACTTGTCTGGCGGGAGACACACGAGAACAGGGTGCTGTTGCCAGGGACTGTTTCTCCACATTTGTACTCGTTCCCTTTAGCCCTATTTTGCAGATGGGGGAGATAATTACCTCTGGCTGGATTCCACTCCCAGGTTTGGCCAAGGATCCAACTGTGACTAGGAAGGAAAAAAGGCATGTTGCTGCCTTCATATAGATCCAGTTGGTCACCAATGAGTGACTGCTTTTTGAGTCAGACTGGAAAAAATAGTGCTATTGTGAATAATATAATGTTAGATGCAATGGAAAGAACTGAATGCCAAAATGTGTGGGTCCGGATAAGGCCCTTCACCCCTTGGCTGGTGACGTTCATCTAACAAAAGAAAATGATCCCTGCTCAGCTTGTTTCACTGAGTTGTTATGGCATAGAAGGATAGCACACTTCTGAGTATTAGCAAGTAATATATGAATGTCAGGTGGCATCATTAATTGATAGACTCAAAGTATTTTTATTTGCACAATATCTCTATTAGCTAATTAACAGTGTTAACAGATATTTATCTTTTACTAATCTTAATCTGTGCCCAACGCTGGGCTAAACTCTTTATATGCTTAATTACATCTAATCCTTATAATAATCCTATAAGGAAGGTTCCATTTATTTCATTTTACAGAGGGGAAGCTGAGGCCTAGGAAGGAATTGGGTCAATACCACATCACTAATGAGATACAGAACCAGGATTAGAGCCCAGGCAACTGCCCCCAGAGGACTCACCCTGAAATTCTACATCATGGAAAAAGAAGATGCCCAGATTTCAATTTTATAAGCGAGAGAAGCTGCCCTCTGTAAATATTAACTTGATTCCTCAAATTTACAGAGCAAGACTTTGGCAGAAATCAGACTAGAATTCTTAAATTGTTGCCAGATAGTTACAAACCTTCTCAACTAATTACCACACTCGCTGATCCAGAATGTCCAGAATGTCCTTTTCTTTTTTTTTTTTTTTACCTTTTAAGTCATATTCTATGTAAGGCAGTAAAAATTTCCATTTTTATATTTTATAGTTACTTGATGTATTAAAAAATGTGACATTCACTGATGAAGGGAATTCATTTCATTTTGATGCCCATGGGGATATGAATACTGGATATGATGTTGTGCTCTGGAAGGAGATTGGCGGCCACATGACTATCACCAAGATGGCACAATATGATCTGAGGAATGATGTCTTCATCATCACAGACCAAGAAACAAAAAATGAGTTCAGAAATCTTAAGGTAATTTTATGGTAAGCCTGCTTTATAGCATTCAAATCAAATTAGTACCTCAGTTGCAAAAGTCCTTGATCCCACCAGAACCTCCAATAACCTCACTTCCTGTTTACTGTTCCCAATTTCCCTCCTTAAATTCTATGATCAACTTATATATCACTCCCTGTTCATGCTGTCTTCATCATACACATTCGACCAAAGCATGATCCTGATTAAATTCAACTCTCTGCCTAATCAGTAGAGCCCTCATTTAGCTGAACTTGGCAAAACAAAAACAAAAACACCTTGTTGACAGTTTTCACTTCAAATTCATGATCTCTCACCTCCAATGGCCCTTAATGCTGTTGGACAATCAGACTATTATCCTACTCCATTAATTCACCCACCTTCCTGGATAGCTATTCCATAATTTTTCTTCTCTCCTCCGACTCCCACACATCTTTCCCATCTTCACATTCCATTGACCTTGCTTCTTATGTCACTAACAAAACTGAAAACATCAGAAGAGAACTGCTTCTTTTCCATCTTTCCTAAAATGTCGCCATGTCAGGGCAATCTTCCCCAGTCACTTTATTTACAACTGCAATGCCAACCTAATACTTCTTATATATCCTTCTCTTTTTATTTCTCTTCCTAACACTTATCACCATCTAGCATTCTGTACCCTTTGCTTATTCTTAACTTGCTTATTGTCAGCCTTGTCAGCTAGAATGAAGGTCTATGCGAGCATGGATTTTTGTGTTTTGTCCCCTGCTGTGGCCCCAGTAATTACAACAGTGCATGACATATAATAGACACTCAAAAAGTGTGCTGAGTGAAAGAATCAAAGCTTCAAGTCACTACTTTTATTCTAATTTTCCCTGTCATAAGTTTCAGTAAGGCAAGATACTTTTTCCTTGAAAGATAGAAATGTAGCCATCTTTCTGTGTTCTCAAACTTTCTTTATCATTTTCATTATCACCTCCACTCTCACAACAATATTGTGAACCCAGAACTCTGCTAAACACCGTAACTCAACTCAATCTTTACTTTACATAGTTTACTATGTGGTGACTCATTTTTTGTACTGAATACAGAGGGGATTCTCTACTAAAATTCCTGCAAGAACCATTGTTTTTAATCCTTACCAAGACTATCTTCAGACTTTGTAGGGGAGACAGTGAGAGGGAGGTGATAGGATGATAAGTAAGTGAGAGGGGTTTTTGGTGACTAAGTGGAAAGGGCTGATCACCATAAAAAAGATGGACATGTCTTCTTTTCTGATGGTAACACCCATAAATATTTCAAGGAGGTAGTAGGAGACCAATTAAGTCAGATTTCAGGAACCAATATGTAGGCTAGTTGGGGTATCAGCATTTCTGGTAAATCATCAAAATCCATAGTATAAAACCTCAGATAATCCTATATCTTTTGATATTCCAAAGTTATTAATACCAGACTTTAGAATGTCTTTGCTGTCTCTTATGTGAAGAGGAGAAAAGGTTTCCCTTTTATCCCCTAATGACGTCCTGCCTGCTGAAAACCCAGATGAGGAATAACTGTGTTGAGAGGAAGAAAGCCACTGCTTGTGGACACAGGGCTACCAAATCTCAGCTACTTCTCTCTCTCAGCCAGATATTTTCATCTCCCAGAGTAAAGGCCAGTTAGCTTAGTCCTTGGATTGTGTTCCTGGCTCAGGAATGGCTATTAAGATAATCTGAAGAAGCCCTATTTTACCCATTTTGCTTTGGTCTTCAGAATGTAAGAGGGAGACGATAACAGATATAGTTTGCAAGATATGCCATGAGAAAGGGACTATGAATGGAAAAAAAGCACAACTGAAGTGCAAAGAATTATTATGTAAATTGGAAAAGCCTTCATAAAAATAGGATGCTATATATGATTCACACTGCGGTGTGCACAATTATAACCTAAATTCTCAGGATTATTAAAATTCTATTTATATATCTAGGGTTGCCTTTTTCACTAATACTTTAATGGTTTTAAATTCAAAATCTCCACTGTTTATTAAAAAATATTTATTTATTTATTTATTATTTATTTATTTATTATTATTTAGTGTGAGAGTGGAAGGAGGGGCAGAGGGAGAGACAATATCTCAAGCAGGCTCCCTGCCGAGTGAGGAGCCAGACTCCAGGCTTGATCTCATGACCCTGAGATCATGACCTGGGCCGAAATCATTCGTCAGATGTTCAACAAACTGAGCCATCGGGTGCCCCTCCACTGTTTTGTTTTTGAAGGTCAGACTGGCCAGAGTCCTTGGACGGCATGATTACTAACCTTATTCTGAAGAATACAAAAGCCCATTAAGTTTCTATTTTCCAATATAGCTAAAGTCTTTATATAACACAAGATTGTACATTTCCAAGCCATTGTCCCCTCTTTTAGTGTCATCACTATACATTTGTCCCTCTGCTAGGGACTTTCTGAAAGAGCTCATTTCCCTTATTTGCTTACAGAAGCTATTAATGGGACAAAAACTTCTTCTTCCTAAGGCAGTATCACTATCTGAAATAGTTTCTATTTTTTAAACTTGTTCGCATTCCTCCAGATGACAAAACAATTCTATGGTGCTATTTTTTTTTAAAGAGACCAATGTTTACTATTTAGTAAATATATCTTTACATTAAGTCAAGGTTACTTAGGATAAATCTTTAAAAAAAAAATCTATTTGAGATTTCTTTCACTTGGCAGCAAATTCGATCTAAATGCTCCAAGGAATGCAGTCCTGGGCAAATGAAAAAAACTACAAGAAGTCAACATATCTGCTGCTATGAATGTGTGGACTGTCCTGAAAATCACTACAGTAACCAGACAGGTAACTATAGTCACCACAGCACATACTGTAATAGACCTGAACCATTTCTCTTAGGCTGATTTTTTTTATAAGAATCCTATTTTGTTTTGTTTAGTTTTGTTTTTCACTTAAGGATTTCATGCACCTGCTAAAATAAATTCCAGTGAAATTTCATTTTACATTGGAATTTGCTCTTTTATATCAGCAGATGCATAACCAATACATAATAGAGATATAAAAGTAACTTCACTTCCAAGGAGAGATGTCACCCCCTCAACTGGATTTCCTCTCTCGCATCTCTCAAAACAATGTGAATTCTATCCATTTTTGTCCATCTGTCCCCCACACAGACATGCCTGCCTTGTAACTGGGGCACAGTACGTATGAATAAATAAATGCTGAGTTAGCTAAACAGAGCATGATAGAGACCCAGAGGTGTGCATACCCTGGAGATCTCATTATTCCTACCAAGAGGCAACGGTAAAGCCTAAAAAGAATCATCTGTGAGAGGAAGGGGTGGACTATTGACATAGATGAGATGCTAACTGCTTGTTTGACAAATCTGTCTTTAACAGTTCATGATATCTAAGCAAAATACACAAATTAGAGAACAAGAAGGAGCCCAGCAGCCTTCAGGGTCTTAAAAGGAGCTATCAGCGCTTTCTTTGGGGTTAAGCCTACTTTAAAGCCTCTTGTTCCCTCCCTGGCTTATTGTTCATTATAGATGCATCCCCATTCATCTCTAACTGCTGAGAACTCCAGAGCTGGACCAGTTCTCAAATGCTTACTCTTTTTTCTCATTGGCTCCAAGGGGAATAAATGACAATGTTAACATTCCAACACTCACGTTCTATCACTATCTCACAAAAATGCCACTTGTCCCAACCCAAGAGATGGGCTCTGCTGTGTGAATAATTAGATAACAGGCAGGGAGGGGATTTTCCAGGTAATACGATGTCTAGCAACTGTCTGCCAAGTGGATAATAGAGTATGTAGCGTCTGTTTCCCATAAAGACGTGCACGAGTTTTCAAAATACAATTTGGGTTGCCCTTTGATAACCCGGGAAAGAACAAGTGTAGAAGACTGCTTTTCCCCTGGAGGAAACACAAGGATTTAGGATGATCTGAAAGGACAGCATCTCTTGTTGCTCCCTATGTCTCCAGCGCACGGCCCAGGTACATCGACAAGGCCATGAAACATTCGCCAAACAGGTGAAGAAGGTGGCACACACTTGCAGCAACAGTTAGGGGACCACAGAGAAGAATGGGTACTTATAGGGACACAGGGTTTGGAAAGAGGAAGAGGCTGGAGAGGTAATGAAGAAATTTATACACAGAAACACAACCTGACTTTGAGATTAACAAAAAAGAGAACGCGGGCCCCCTTATAAAACAGAATGGGCACTGTGGAGGGTTCTCAGATGGATGCCTCGGGAGGGGATTTGGTAGTAGGCAGGACCCCAACTTTAGGGGGGTTGAGAATGGAGAGCAGAGGCAATCACACTCCCAGAGACTCCACTCTAATATCAGCTCATCATGAATCAGCTGAAATCACTTCCCAGCTTGTCACTGCCTGTGTGAGAAGCTCAATTTTATGACCTCCTAGAAAAAAAAAAATAACTAATTCTTCATTCACTGTCATTGGTTACAATCTTGTGTTATCTCACTTTTAGAGAGCTTTTAGAGAAACTTGGCTATATTTTCTCTGCTCTTAAAGAACTGCTGTCATATTTATTTATAATAGTTTTCACTACATTGAGCGTCTAAGATGTGTAATGCTCCGTGCAAAGCATTTTATATTTATTGGCGTGAATGCAGCACCCCAGTGAGGCAGGGTCTTTATGAATTTTTTTAAGATTTGGATCAGAAAGTTCAAATTACTTATCAAGATTATGGGAATCATAAGTGATAGAGGAAGGAACTTGAGATGCATTTTGACTCCAAAGCCCTTCTTCTTAACAGAGTCCCTGAACTGCCACCTATAATAGCAAATTCATAAGAGGTTAGTGTCTATCTTGAGTATTGATTTCCTAAAGACTCGCAGCCCAGCTGGTTTTTTTTTCCTTTCTCTTCCCCTTTTTCTTTTTTTTTTTTTTAATTTTTATTTATTTATGATAGTCACACGCACAGAGAGAGAGAGAGAGGCAGAGACACAGGCAGAGGGAGAAGCAGGCTCCATGCACCGGGAGCCCGATGTGGGATTCGATCCCGGGTCTCCAGGATCGCGCCCCGGGTCAAAGGCAGGCGCCAAACCGCTGCGCCACGCAGGGATCCCTCTTCCCCTTTTTCTTCCTTCACCTTCACACTTTCTCTCTTGCCTTCTTTTGGATTCTGTGTGAATGAATAACCAATGTGAAAATTAACTCTAGCTTAAATGTTTGCAATGTAACTGAATCTCCTCTGTCTTTTAGATATGGATCACTGCCTCTTATGCAACAATGAAACTCACTGGGCCCCTGTCAGGAGCACAAGATGCTTTGAAAAGGAAGTGGAATATCTCAACTGGAATGATTCCTTGGCTATACTGCTCCTGGCCCTCTCCCTACTAGGAATCATCCTTGTTCTGGCCATTGGCATAATATTTACAAGAAACCTGAACACACCCATTGTGAAATCATCTGGGGGATTGCTGGTCTGCTACGTGATCCTTCTCTGTCATCTCCTCAACTTCGCCAGCACAGGCTTCTTCATTGGAGAACCACAAGACTTCACATGTAAAACCAGGCAGACTGTATTTGGCGTGAGCTTCACTCTCTGCATCTCCTGCATTTTGATGAAGTCCCTGAAAATTCTGCTAGCCTTCAGCTTCGATCCCAAGTTGCAGAACTTCTTGAAGTGCCTCTATAAACCGATCCCCATCATCTTCACTTGCACAGGTATCCAGGTTGTCATTTGCACAATCTGGCTAATCTTTGCAGCACCTGCCGTGGAAGAGAATGTCTCCTTGCCCAGAGTCATTATCCTGGAATGTGAGGAGGGATCCGTCCTTGCATTTGGCACCATGCTGGGTTATATTGCCATCCTGGCCTTCATTTGCTTCATATTTGCATTCAAAGGCAGGAAATTACCTGAGCATTACAACGAAGCCAAATTCATAACATTTGGCATGCTCATTTATTTCATAGCTTGGATCACATTCATCCCCATCTATGCTACCACATTTGGTATATATTTGCCAGCTGTGGAGATTATTGTTATTTTAATTTCTAACTATGGGATCCTGTGTTGCACATTCTTCCCCAAATGCTATATTATTCTTTGTAAGCAAGAGGCTAACACAAAATCTGCCTTTCTCAAGATGATTTACAGTTACTCTTCCCACACTGCAAGCAGCCTTGCCATTAGTCATGTTTCACTGGACTCCACTAACAGCAATATCACAACGACCAATCCCAGCTCTAGTGGCAAGTCTGCAGCCTGGCAGGAAAGCAAGGATCTTCAGGCACAAGCATTTGCACACATATGCAGAGAAAATGCGATAAGTGTACCTAAAATTTTGCCTCGAAAAAGAATTTCAAGTATATGAAGGAGTCCTGAAGAGATGGCATGTTCGAGAATAAAATGTTTCTAGGATCTTTGTATTTAAAATGTACATTTATTTTCCAATGAATATATAGTTTGTTTTTCTTCACTGCCACCATATTCACCAATGCTCCCTCTGTCTAACCACCTGTTTAACAGAGAAAATAGAGCCCTCAACCTGAAACTGCCTTGGTTCCTCCTTCTGCATCCATCTTTAACTCCTTGTTAGCCATGTTTTTATTCAATATTAGCCCATGTTACATCATCCTTGTAATATCCTCTGTCTCCTCTTCTCAAACTTCTTCATATGGGTTCTCCTTCTCTTCCAAAGCATCTTTACCTTTCCGCCTTCATTGCTCAGTTTAGTTGAACAAGCATTTTAGCAGTTACCATGTGCCAGGTCGTATGCTAAATATGAAGGTACGGAAGGATCAAGGCATCATTTCTGACCTCTAGGAGTTCAAAATCCAGGAGAGAGGGTCACATATCAACATTTTCACTTCAGTGTGGAGAATTCTGATTGTCATGTGCATAGGGCACTGTAACAGTATAGTGAAGCAGCACTTAGTCACCCTGGGAGATGATGAGAGAGCTTCAAAGAAAGCTAAATATGACACTTAGGTAAAGTCTCGAAAGATGAATAAGAGTTAGCTAATCAAAGAAAGTACAGAAAACTGTTCCAGATAAAGGGGGAAAGCAAGGAGCAGCAGCAGAAAGGGTCAAGAAGGTACACTCGGGAGAGTACAGCCATTTGGTGTTACTAGAGAGGAGTCCTGTTTTGTATGTAGTGGTTAGGTCATGAAGGAATACCACAGACTGGAGTTTTTTCATAGGAAGCTTAGATCTTTATCTTGTGAGTTGAAGGTCATCAAGATGACAGGTTCAAAGTCTCATTTTAGGAAGATCACTCTGAAACAGGATAGAGGATGGAGTCTAATTGGGAGAGGATTTGGATCTACACGAGGGAAAAGAGAAAAGAATATGAATAGGTATCTAAGCTATATAGGAAGTGGTACTTTACTTCATGTGGTTGGTGAGGGGTGAAATATAACCTTCTTATCTGGTTTATTGGAGGAGATATGCAATATGGGAAGAAGACTGGTTTAGAGTAGGAGATGGAATATTGAATTTGAGGCGCCTGGAGTAATTTCAAGATGTATCAAGCATTCATATGGATATTAGACTCTGAGCCCAGGGGACCAGGTCAGAGCTGCTAAAAAGATTTGAATGCCATGTTCACACTGCTGCCCATCCTTATAAAACAGATAAACATACAAAATAACATTGTCTCCAGTCTTGACAACCTCTTTAACTACAACTCTCTTTCTTCCTCTTCTTCACAACTGAATGTTTGAAGGAATAGTGTCATTATTGACTTGGACCCACTGAGCCCACTGAAATCTGGCTTCTAGTTGTACCACTCTGCCAAAGTAGTTCAGAGAACAGCTGTCTGTGGCTTTTTATCTATCAGATTCAATGGTGATTCTTAAGCCTTCATCTCCCTTGAATCTGATGGGCATTTGTGGTATAATTCCTCCTCCCTGAAATTCTCCTTCTTCATTCCCTACATGATATTCTAAAGCTTCCAATTATTCAAAACTCTTCAATCTGATGCAAAGACTCTTTTGGTTCTATTCTGGCATCCTGACCATATGTCTTCCTCCATTTGACTCTCAAATATGGGTAATCCCCAGAGTGCCATCCTCAATCTAAATCCCTTTTCTCTCTATCCACTTTCTTGCTACAATACCATCCATCTCCATACCTTAACTTTGGCCCAGATAACTCCCCAAACCATGTCTCTGGTCACTCTAATCAACCCACATTCTTGTCCCTTGTACTTTGACTTGTCGAAGTCAACATGTCTAACATTTGATCCATTACTTCCTTTTCCTGGCCCCTCCTCCTGTTTTCCATTTCTCAGCATGTTATACCACCTTTGGATTCATCAGAACCCTGCAGATCATCTTATTCATCTCTGACCCCACCATTTGCTTCACCTTTCTATACCTTTAATTCATCACCTGTCTTTTGTTTTCTAACTTTTGAATTTTCTCAAAACCTTGCCAAGCCCTCTATCCCCGTCATCACTTCCTTAACCTAGGCCTTCATAATCTCTTTCATAGATATTTACAACAGCTTCCTACTTTGACTCTGATCTCTCATTTTATTTCAAATACAGAGTTCTTACTAAGCCTTCCATTCATTTCTACCTCATGTATTCCTAGAGTAAAAACCTCTTCATGTTACTCGGTTGTCCTAAAACCTCTAATAAGTCAAAATTTCTTATCTTGATGCCCAGACTCTCCATGCCCAGGAACAATGGCTGCCCCTTCCTAGCTGGTATGTTACCCTCGAGAAATGGTCACCTGCTGGTGATCGTCTGTACCCATACCATGCTACTCCATGCCTCAGAGTCTGCCTCTCCTCTTGGCCTTGATGTCCTTTCCACCTCTGTCCTCCTAGAAGATTCTAGCTAATCCACTAGACACAATCAAGTGTTTTCCCTTCTACCAGGACTTTCTTTCTGCCACTGTCACGGCACCTATTACACTTCATTGCATTCACATGTTTTTAGTTTAATTTATTCCACTAACATTTATAAGTGCCTACTATGTGCCAGGTATAATTCTATGCACAGGGCATATACAATGATAAACGACAGACAAGTTCTCTCCTCTCAAGGAGTTTATATTTAGTGTTTTCATCATTATGCAGTGAGCAATCAGTTCTCCTTTGGATCAACGTTCTTGGCTGCCCTTTCCTCTCTACTACCACTGCTATCATCACCCCAGTTTAGGCTGTCATGACTCCACATCTCTGTTGTTGAAACAGTCCAAACTAGTTACTACCCTAGAATTCCCCTTCTAATGCACACAATACATCACCACAGATTGATCTTACTCAGGGTAGTTTCAATACTATCATTCTCCTATTCAGAAAAAATTTAATAAATTCCTAACACTTTCAGAATTAAGTTAAATTCCCCTATCTTGCTAAGCAAATCTTCCACAGTCTTAGCCTGTCATGGATTGTATGTTAAACAACAACAATAAAAACAAACAAACCCAAGATATTGATCCTAGCTTACTGCTTAACCCAAATGTATTCACCTATAATATGGTGATAACATCTCATAAAATTGTTAAGGGTGAAATACCCTGATGTACATGAAAGTGTTAAGAAATGAGTATTCTGTTTGTTATTTTACTGACTCATCGCTCTGTTGATATGAAAACAGTTTCTCTTATTGACATGAGAGCAAAGCTGTAGGAGAGCTTCCAGATTCTTGAGTGTGATCACACAAAACAGAAATCCCAGTACTGTTGTGCCAATAAAACAATGAAAGGAATATTGTTTCATAAGAGTTATGACTTTTACTACAGTTACATAGCTTTCAACAATTATTCTAGAATTTTAAAAATGCTATTTAACATAAGAAATTAAGTTCTGAATTCCTTGATGCCAAAACTACATCTTTGCCATCATGTAAAACAAACAAACAAATAACAAGGGAAAGACTATTGTACTTTTCACTTTTCTGTTAACTTTTGGGGCTCTTAAATTCAACTGAGTATAAGTTAAATAATTGCTTACTCTTTTAAATAATTTCTTGCTACTTTTGGAATAAAGTGGGATTTTTTCTATCATAAAGCCAATATCTAAACATTATTTTTAAATAAGGAAATAAAAATAAGTAAAAAGGACACACACAAAAAAAACCTATAACTCTATGACCAACCAACAATCCACCATTACATAAGTAGTCAACTTTTTACAGGTTGTTTTAGCAAAGTCCAAATCATTACTCAAACAGAAACATTCCCATTGGTCAAGACAAACTGATCTGGGGGTGGGAGAGCATTTAGAATCCAGTGACAGACTGGTTCATCTAGTTATCATCTTACACTGATCACAGAGATACACACACTAAAATACTTTATTGCTAAAATGCAGGGGCAAGGGAACAAAACACATCACACCATAGCCTTAATTGGCAGGGCTGAAATCAGAAGGTGGTCATCACAGGCTGTGAGGATCTCAAGAGCACGGTCCAAGCATAACTGTTATGGGTGCATTCGTACAAAGTGAACACCAAAATTAGTATTCAGCAAGTGTTGAATGAGTAATGTTGTCCACAAATATTCTTAACGTCTTGATCAGCACAATAACTCACAGGGTTTTTTTCCAAAATTTACCTCTCATATTAGAGTCTCCATAGCTCTTGAGCTGTCTGTAAGCCAGATCTTCAGATAGGCCCTTACTGCCATTATTAGCAACATAAGACTTCCAGACAGTTCAAGTAGAAAACAGTTAACTGCAGAACCCTCAAAACTTGGGTTAGAAGATGGTGAAGAATAAACATGTGAACAATTGAATATGGAAGTGGTAAGTGGATCTTCTAGTGTGGCACTGAAAAGAAAGGAGTTTGCCCTGCTTCTACCTCTATTCTCCTTCTTTCTGGCTGTTATGCAGAAGTAAAGCCACCATCTTGGACCATGAGATACGATCTGCAAGCTTAAGAGGGCAGAGCAACAAGACTGAAAAAGCATTGGTCACCAAGACTCTGTATTGCTTTTCAGCTTATGGATTTCTTATGCTTAGAGAATATGTTTCCTTACATACTCTCTAAGCAAACAGCCTGATAAATTCATATTTGGGCTGTCTGCCTTAATGAATGACCATGAATGAAGAGTTGGAAGACTGAACACAGCAAGAAGATGCATTCGCATTCAAGAGCCCTTAGTAGGAAAATCCCAGGTGATTGAAATTTCTTACATTTTACAACTTCTAGTCTTACATAATTTTCTGATACCTATGAAAATGATTACATTTTCAGCCAAAATAATATTATGAGAAAAATGAAAGTTTGAAAATTCCAGAACAACCTAAAAACAAATTAATCAAATGCTTTCTCATTTTTACAAATAGCCATCCTTTCATATCCATGAATATGTGAATTTGATCTGCTTCTTGCTTGTTAGACATAGAAGGCATGATTAA